TATATATATATATATATATATATTTCTTGGATCAGACAATGGGAAGAGCCATAGTGTCTGGTGCTAAAAATAAAAAAGAGATTTTTCCTAGACAAGTTGAGAAAAATGGGGGAGAGAAGCAACCTAGGATCTCTTACACATGCAGATCCTTATTATCAGGAGAAAGTGGACATTTTATTTATGAGTTCATATGTATAATTAATTTCAATTTTTGAGAGCAAAAATAAAAATAATTTTTTTTTCCTAGCCAAACACTTGAAGATTACCTTTTGCTTTTCTTGGACAAGGGATAGGTCACTTTTTTTTTTTGGGGGTCTCTTTCTCAATATGGTTTATGAAGTACCAACAATATATTTCAATTGCTCATATCTTGTATTCTTGTCCTAAATAAGGGAGCCAAAAAGCTTATTCATGTATCCATAGAGGGATTATCGTTCCGGCAGAGGCGTACCCAGAATTTGAAAGTGGCAGGTCACATAAACGAACTGCTCAATTAGTATCTGTATCGAATTACTGAAGGTCCCATAAAAATTATATGACTGTTTTTAATATATATCATTTATATATTCAAAATTTCTGCCAAAATTAATGAGATCCGGTGACCCCTCTTCAAGCAGCATAGGTCCACCTCCTCCTTAGGAAATATGAAAATAAATTTGATTATTTTTGAGAACTGAAAGTGTTCTCGGTTCAAACATATATTTCTAGAATTGGTTGTAATTTATATTGCTAGACATGGATATTGAACAATCAATTGAATCAATCAACTACGCATCAAACTAAAATTGGTTGGGTTTGGCTATATGAGTTTTATATATTTATTTAATTCTATTAGTCTCATATCTTTCTAATAATATTGAATAACATGTTTTAATCAGGTATATTGTGGGAAATGACGTATAGCAAGAATCAGTTTTTTGAAGAGATTTTTACACGACTGGTCTCTATTTAAAGATTATTTTCAAAAATAATAGTATCCTTTGTTTATTTCAAATAGAATAGATTTTTTTACCTTTTTAGCAAAGCTGAAAGATTATGTCGTTAATTAAAATCTACTGCTCTACAAAATAAGCAATCCGTTTCTATCCTTACATTTTGTTTGGCCCAAAAGTTAACGATGTACTTTGTAAGCGATAAAACAATCAAAAAATAGAGAAGGGGTAAATCGTAATCAAATATAATAAGCCTAGAGATGCAAAGATGATAATATTGTTGTAGATCTAATATTGCAAAGTGACAATGTATGTTAATAAGATATTTTCGTCAGAAGTGGTGATATAGAGAGAGAAAGACAGAAAATGAGAGAGTTGTATTAGATCAGATGCCCCTTTTTACAATGTGGAGGTCTCCTTTATATAATAGGAGACCTTCCTCGAAAGAATCAAAAAGTTACAGAGATAGGAAACGTCTCCCTAGTATAGATGCTGAGTTCTAAACGACGTCGCTTTGGTCCTCACGGCCGAGTCGTACCCGCTACGTTGGTCGGCGTACACTCATTGGGCGTAACCACTGGCGTAGAGATACTGAGGGTCAAATTTGACCCTATACAGTTAGTCCCGCCGCTCGTTGGAGACGCGTTTGGTGGGCGTCTTCGGCGGGCGGAAATGCGAACCTCGTCTTAGGAGAATTTGACCTCGACTGGGGGCGGAAATATGAACGAAGTGAAACATATGACGCTGTTGAGCCGCTGACACGTGGCTTCCTTTTTGGAAAGATGTCATCGCCTGTATGCATCATCATTATATTTGCCCCCGAGGCGGTTCAGAGGATGAAGTGATGTTTTGGTTTCCGGCGCACGTTTTGAATCATGACTCTTCGATTCCTGTGCAGTTTATCCTTATAAGTGTGAGAAAGGTTTAATCTGATTCCACTTTCAAGCCTCTGAAAAGTATTTTCTGATACACCCTTTTGCCTTTCTTTCCTGTAACCGTTATTTCGTGAGGGACTTTCCCACTTTGTTGAAACCACACTTCCTATTGTCAGTGCTTCGTTTCTCAAGTAGTATAATCATGGCAAAACGCGGACAAAATAATAAAAAGGCCAAGGATAATGCCCCGTCTAGGGTTCCGCCATCTTCTGGTGGTGAAGGGGAAAAGGCGGAGAAGGCCCTTGTTCCTTTCAGCGTAGACAACGTCCTTCCAAAGGAGATGCACGTTCGCAGGGATTTTCCGACTAAAAGCCCTGATCTTCCCTAGGAGCGCAGCGTTTTGCTTCAATCCTATTTAGACGAGTTGCGAGAGACGCACCGTATTCCGGACCATGTGGACATGGTTCCGGCCGGAACGGATTATGCCAATGTGCACCGGCCTGGATATTGCGCCTTCTACGAGTACCCGTTCTTGATCGGTTACGGCCTTCCAGTCTATACTCTGGTGGAGGAGCTTTGCCGTTTTTACAATGTATGCCCGGCCCAGCTCACTCCTTATACTTTGAAGGTGTGCCGTATCATGACCACCTATGCGGCCAGGGCTGGGTGCAGCGTCTCAGTCCATCACCTCTTGCAGTTGTTCAGCGCTGGCTACCTGAGGGGTACCATGCTGCAGTTGAAAGGTCGTGGCGCAAAGGGCTTGGTTGTTCAAGCCGATGACAAGCCCAACCGCCGTTTTTGGCGTAAATATTTCTACATCAGGACGGAGCACCTGGTGTCGAATCCCGAGGGTTTCCCGGAAAAATGGAATCCCGAACGTGAGTGTTTCTATTTGTAAATTTTAGTGCCGCTTGCGCTTTTGACTATA